GTTTCAATGAGGTTTCGATTTTTTCGATTTCGATTTATCGATTTTTGGGGCTTATCGATTCAGTTATCGATTACACCAATAAGAAAATTTGCGGGATTCCACGAAAAGTATATCGCTATAAACACTCCTAACTAATATGGACAAAAAGAAGCTAAAATAAGATAAACACCGTTTATAACATAAAAATTGTGTCAACAAGCACATGCAACGAAACTAAAGTAAGGGATCAAATGTATGCCACCAACACTCCAACGGTATAAAAAAAATACATCATCACGGCTAATTTTGTTTTTCATTAATTTGAACTTCATTCCCTTGAGCTTTAAATATGACCATTCCTTAAATGTGGTAGAGAAAATAATAGGGTTAGGGACTTAGGGTAAAGGAAAGGGTATAATAGAATAAGGGAAAAAAAGCTTTTTAGTATATCTTATCGGTTTATCGATAAACCGATAACCGAAGAGGACAAAATCAAAATCAAAATCGATAACTCGATAAGGAAAATTTCGAAATCGATAAATCGATAAACCGATATCGATAACCCGATAACAAATAATCGATTCGATTTATCGATAAACCGATTTGAATGCACACCCCTACTTCAGATTTCTGTATATTCGAATGGCAAAATCATCCAAATGTGTACAAACTATACTATATATACATTGGGCCAAAATGTCTTGAACCCGGAAAAATATAAACCAAAACCTAAAAAACAAAAGCCTATACAATTAACTTATACACAACTGGGCCTATTTCTGCCGAGGACCAGATGCCAAATAGCCTTCAAGTCCAACAACACTAACAGCCTTTAGGGGCTGATTGAGCAGAATACTGCGGACCGTCACGTAAAAATCTTGGGTCCGCCTCTGATTGCAACTACTTCTGCCACGCTCTTAGGCATATAAAACCTTATCTTTCTAAGACTTTTGCATTTACAAAATTATTTAATAAGTTTTTTTATAAAATTTATTTAACTAAATTACTATTTATCTCTTCTAAAACTTTGTGAATCATTTATGATCTACGCTATGCTCTTTTTTTGTCTCCATGGTTGAAAAGTATTGCATTTGCATCATAATGTTTTCGTTGGACTTAGCAATGACAGATTTGAAAATATAAAATAACCAAACATTGCTATATACATAGTTTGAACTATCACATTTCAACTCTTTTTTATTTCAAAGGAGATTCATGTCCAAAGAATTACGTATTTTTTCTTTCAAACAACTACATACATATATACATACATATATATATATATATATACAAACACGAGCCTATAATTGATTCTTCCAAGGAACAACTGCAATGGGATTGAAACGTTTCTTCAAACGATTGATTCCTTTTGGGATTCTAACAAAATTATGTGTACGTTCTATCACTATGAGGACTTCTATATCCTGCAAAAAAATTGAAGTAATTCATACAAATATTCATAAAAAGAGGACACAAGGGTCATTAGGAGGAAGAGTTGTATTAGAAGAAATACTTATCCAAGAAACATGAATTTGAATTGGAGAAGAAATTTAACACGCCCAACTAAATGCTGATCGATTAAAATATTTCTGAAATATTGACGGGCGTTTATATCTTTTGCTATTTATATTAGTTTTGGCAACGGCTATAAGGGAATGACACTACTGGAAATAGACACGTTAGGATAAGGGTTGTAAATGCTGAATGACTAAAATATCTTTGAAATATTGACGAACTTTTATACCCTATACTATATATATATTAATTTTAGGAACAACTTATAGGGAATGGCACAACTGAAAATAGACACGTTAGAATGAGAATTTGTCTTAGAATAGAAACTTAACCATGAAAGAGATAAAGTTAAGAATGAAATAAGAAAAAGTGAATCTTAAAACTAAATCTAATAAACTTCCCTCTAGGTAAACGTGGAACAAATACATTAGAAATGGATGGAAGTTAGGTCATATGTACATTGTCAAATATTTTCAAAGTACTAAAATTAAACTAATTAGTTTAAAATTTTGAAGAAAAACTATTAGTTTTCGTTTTGAATTCTAATTAAAAAACGAAAGTTGGCTTAATTTTATTTTCTTAAAGTATTTTTCTTTTGGTATCCGAAACTAACAACAGACTGTTATTCAAGAGAATTTTTATGTATTTTTTACGATATTTTATTTCCAATCCAGCGTACTCAAACGACTTTGTGTTTGGTTTTATGTTTTTTTGAAATCTGAATTAAGCCCTTTTTTCAAGTTTCGGACATTAACAAAATTTTATTTTTATAAATAAGATAACTATATTAATAATTATAAACTAACATAATTGCATATCAAAGGAAGGACCAAAGGATCACATTTGCAACGCACAATCAAGACTAAATAACATGGAAGAAATTAAAATTCATCGGCATTAGGCTTAAATTATTTTTCAGAAAAATTATTTCATGTTGAATAAAATCGTAATTCATTAGAGTTGTCTAATATTTTGGACACTGAGGTAAACTAGCTAGACATTGAATTCTTTAAAGTGAAGCTCCACATACTAAGTCTACAGTTAAACAACGGTGAATTATCCGCTAAATGACTCGACTTAATTAATACAAGGATTCATAAGTTTAATGAAAGTATCCCACTTTATTAATCTACCTAAAGTGTATGATCAACCATAGATTTATAACAGTTGTCAAGACTTTAGGAGTTTTTCAATTATATATCTCTTGCCATTATGAAACTCTCGCAAGATCTGAACAAGATATCTACTATCGTATTTGTTTTATTATAAAAAAAACTAAGTTTTAGGTTGATAGTTGACAGCAAGCAAATAGATATGTATTAAAGGTGTTGGAGTCTGTCAACCCTTCCATCCTACGGATGTCAAGCCCCACCGAAGTAGCATTTTTAATATTATAAATTATATGAGATTAATTCTTTTTCGATAACAAATTTGTTCACATATCTTCTCTTAATTATTAGGTACGCTTATTGTTATACGTGATAGGCACGTACATAGAGACTAGTGTGTGTGTGGGGAGGGGTGTGTGTGTGTGTGTGTATATATATATATATATATATATATATATATATATATATATATATATATATATATATATATATATATATATATATATATAGGAA